TGAAGTGAAGGGGACAAAACTCATGTGGGTCACCTCCAAGACTGTAGCTTGCCCTTCGGTGTATATGCGTCTATTCCACGGGACTGCCTCACTGGTGGCGGGGTCAACACTGTCTTCTGTTTTTGGGACCTCGATTCATACACCGAACTTCCACCAAAAATGTAGCGAAGCTGAGGCACACAGACTAGTGAAACAAACGTATTTATTAGGGGCGAGCCCTATGCCCACCACTCTCAGATACTGTTGCCGTCACAGTGCTGGTCACATGAATTCTCAAGATGTCGTTCGCCTGTTCTCTTCTTTTTTGCGAGGTACACACGAGAGCATGGAACATGAAAGCCAGTTCCGGCCTCATGCTCCCGCCGTGGTGGCCGCTCTGCGGCAGTTTGACACGGCTCAAAGTAGCGTGCCTTGATGCCCGTACATAAACGCCCTCTAACGCACACTGCCCGATATGTATGATGATGGGTGCACTATATTTGAACGGGGCTAACATGTCGCGTTAGTAAAGACAGCTAAAAACACGAATCCTTATACTAGTCGGCGACTGTAAGTCTCTTATGTCACAGTATGTTGGTCAATTTGCTTTATGTGGGATAACGCTCGGGTAACATATTTTTACTCACGCATACGATACCCAGAGCTTCGCCCAATCGTAAAGTTCACTTTCTGGAGACGTAGAGATTTATTATTCTGGTGCCCGTTTGCTAAAAAAAAGGATTATCTGCTTTTTTTATTTGACCTGACGAACGAAATTTCTTCGTCCATATGTCTTGACACCATTTCTTCAATCTTTCTGCCGAAATTGTTCTTGGATGTTACAGAAACTCATGTCTGAGCGATCACTTTCTCATACTACTGCAAATATAAAAAAAATCTCGAGCTTAGGATCACCGGTAAAAGGCCGATGCAACCATTTAAGAGAAGTATGGAGCATAGAAGATCCTAAACCACCCACAGACGCTCGTGCGCTGCTTCTCCGTGTCTTTACTCTATGGAAAACAGCTGCATGACGTCACGTGTACAATCAGGTGACGTCGCGAGCAAGAGACGTTGTCACCGGGCGAGCTAGAACTTTTTTCTGCTGTCAGACGTGCACGTTTCTTGTGTATCTATCTCGGATTCTGAGAAATGGCACTTGTAAAGAAGGACAGACAAGCCGATGAACCCAGTTGAGCTAATCAACGCGTGCAACTAAACCAGCATATTCTATACACTCATGCGAAATTGCTATGCCCGAACTAATTGTTGACCTATGTGTGATTTAGGGTGCTTTAGCCAAAATATATCACTCACTAACCTGTCTTTCTCAGAAATTCATTACACGCTTCAGTATATAGGCCATTTATTACTGATGCTGTTTAAACTGAAATTCAAAGTGAACTAGTGTTGCTTGCTAACGTTGTGCGACGTGGTGGGATGACGATTGAAATGTTTTGTCACAGTCACTTTTTCAGAGAAGCGGAGCGCCACAACATAGCCTGCTCAGTGCTACTTTCTTTGCTGTAAAAATGAATGTTTTGAACCCATGGATCCTACATAACATGTTTTATTTAAAATATTATGACGGAAAGCACACATTACTTTAAACAATGCGTTATTCCGATAGTGGGCATCATGTAGAACTCCGCCTTAACAAGGCTGATGAGGCTACGTTCTAATATAACCTACAAAAACATTGAATTCCTCCTTTTCTCTAGACAAGCACAAGTCTGCACCCTGATGCCGTACATGACGCGCAAGACCACAGTCTTGGAGATCAATTCAGGTGCAAAAGTGTGACCTTAGTATTCTTGACGAAGTGAATTCAAGACAATCGCGCCAGAAACATTACTGATATTATAGTAGTTTTCACGCACATTATACGGTGCACACTGAAAACATTTTACACACGCGTCTTGTCCACCGGGAGGTAGTTCATCACTCTACCAGACCAAGCAGTCTCATGACGCTGAAGAGTGCCCCATATCTACGGACCCAGATGCCTGCAGGTGCCGTTAAGAGAGCAGGCTCGATAGAAGGCCCTAAGGTTGGATGAGATAAGTGGCCTGCGTAATGCTGAAATTTCTGCATAGACATATAAAATTAAAAAAAAAACCACTGGTGATATGTTTGACAATATAGATGTCTAAAAAGTCGTTATGAAACAAATGGCTTTCAAGGACATAGTATTTCTTTTATTATCTAAAACAATTTGGTACTGTTGCTTTGCTCTACGATCTGTCCACCGCCACTTTTTAACGCACTCATAGCGATTCAAGAGGAAATACAGCCATGTGATGAGTGAAATGTACGGTAAATGGGCCTTATAAAATGCGTTTATTGAACTTTACTGCATTTTGAGGCGCAACTTTCACCACCGCTTCCAAATGAATGGATAAATATGACACAATGTGTTAGAAACATACTCCCCATGTGGTTGATCAAAAAGTATTTCATTGGTGTTTGCACAATTTTGTATATAAAAAATCTGAAAATAATAACAGAGAGCGGCACTGCAGTGGACGAAGAATGAGTACTATTAAGATGCTACATTGATTACTTACAAAGCAGATATTTTTTAAGGTTAATTCAAGCAAAATATAGCAATTTGTATGTATGCATACTTCTCCATGTGAATTTGAAGCGTAGCATGGTACAAAAGATGAGGAGATTCTAAAGCTACGCCTTTGAGATTTGAACGTCATAGCAATATCGTATTCCTAGTGTGTACTTTAAGCAATTAGTGCATAAAACCTTTTCGAACTTGCTATGCAGTGTGCACCCACTATGTGTCCCTAAGGGATTAGGCACACTAACACGTGTGCCTTTTGCAGTGGGTAACCGACTTTAAGTCACGAAATCATTATGATAAGCTCCTGTTTTGATGCCCGATGGCAATGGGCGCTTGTACCCCACAATATTACTGCAATATTTTATGTTGTACTGTGATGCATGCACACAGGACGTGAGTGCTTGTAAAGTATGAAAACGACTTTCAGTGTATTTCCAATCAGTGAAAGCTATTTTCATTGTATTCAAGGCAGACGTGTGGCTGCGTGGGGGAACATCCTCTTGTCACAAAAACGACCCAGGTTCAATCTCCGCTCGAACTCAATGACCCACGTTCGATCTTTACTCTATCCCAGGATCGAAAGTTGGGCTAGTTGAATATGCATGGTATAACTTTCAGTTCAAGCGCACGAATAAACAGAAAGGAAGAGAGGAGAAGCACTTTCTCGCAACTGTTTATTCGTGCGCTTGATCTGACAGTTATACTATCCCAGGAGCTTTTATTAATTATTTTCTTTGTGTCGTTCTGGATTTTTCGACCACAAAAAAGATTGCTTGCTCATAACCAACGGCGCCGATGACGGTGCTGGAATAACAGTTAAACATGCTCTTTAACGCTATCGCATTAGTAGTTTTGCGCTGCACTAGTTGCCAACTTTGAAATGAAACATTTCTTTTTTGAAAGTATACGGTAAATTTATATGTCCTTGAGCAACATTTCCTTAAGGGAGATGTATGTATATTGATATAACTATCTTTTTTTTAACTCGCCTCTGTTGTCCGCATTATGTCTTGGGAATGGTTTACCACACGTGTTGTTTCTGTAAAAAACCAGGACGCGTTTTTGAAGTGTTAAAAAGTTGACCTTATATCGTATAAACAATTTATTTGTATATCAAAACCTTGTGAATTATGTGTGCACATAAGTGTTTCATTGTTATTTGTCCTGCTTATGCTGGTGTTATCAAGTGTATATTTGTTTTGATGTATTTATTCTAATGTAACCACCCCCTGACTCTGCTTACCATAACCCCCCCCCCTACTATGTAATGCCCAGCAAGAGCTTTTAGGGTATGTGAATAAAATAAATGATAAAGGTTTAGAGAATAGTGGTAATATTCAATCGCAATGAATATATAAAGCGGAACTGCCAATTTCTTTAGATATTAAGAGATGATTAAACGTTTCAGCCTATGCTCTTGTCGAGACTTTGATTACATATGCTCATTTATACAACCTAAAGTCAATTAGCTCCTTATAAAATAACATTTATTAACAGGTCACCGATTCCGAAACATACCTGTATATTCGGGCAACCCTGTGTATGTACCGTAAGATGTCTACTCTTTTCTAACCCCTCTCCCTCAACAAATGGATGCATGCAGGGAAGGCTATGGGATGACGGCATGGGCATAACTCGCCTTTCTTAGCTGCATATTGTGTTAGTCGTCGTTGACATCAAATCTTTCATAAAGCCCACAAAATAATCAGCAACGAGAAAATCTATGCGGGGCACATCAGATACTTCATGCGCCGGCGGGTCGCAATGAAAAAACGACGTTTCCGCGCTCACACTGTCCCCCGGAGTTATGACGTGCGACATTCTCAAGGAAACAAACACATAGTAGTTCCAATCATTTCTGAACTCGTCATTGGTAAGTTCAGACGGGTTGGCACAGCTCACGATTCCGTGTCCAATACTTGCTTTTCACTCAACAGACTAAGAGGCGCAATAGCTATGTTTTATCCGCGACTAGCAGTGGCAATGTATGGCGGACTTCTTTACTTCATAGCGTACCGAGCTCTGAGCATATCCCTATTCAGTTTTAAGTTTTGACTCATCATTTTTGGCTTATTAGTGTCCCGGAAAAACAAGCCACCCTGGTTTTTACAGGGCTATTAGTACAATTTGAAAGTGGCATTATGATGATATGGTCAACAATTCAACGAAGTTCTTTTTTACAGTCTTATTTTCTCGTTTGGTAACGAAGACAAAAATACGCTCCTACGACCGTAGCCACTCGTAGTTTTCATATGAGGGGGATTTAAAAAGTACATGCAAGTAGAGGTAGCGCATACTGCAATGTGACTGAAGGGAAATATAATCACGCTATAAATAGGCTTCGTAAAGAGGTTTAGGCAAACGATTTAACGTGTGAGTAGTGAATTGCATGTAGTGCATGAAATACGATATTGCACTGTTTTTTTTACATGTTATACTTTTGCAGGACGAAGAATGCTTCTTGCCTTTCAAACCGTAGGTGCGTGAGCTCTACCATGAAGGAGGGTGAACAAGAAAATATGAAACTGAGGCAATGTGGTCAATATGTGCCTGAAAACCAGGAGCTCTTGAATGCTACGGTATGAATCCTCTTCTGCGTTTTAACTAGAAGGGGTCAAAACATTTACGTGCAAACTGCATATAGATTTTAGCAGTTATAACTGATCCGCTGCAAATTCTAAACAGTGCTGAAGTATTTTCCTATCTGAGGCAATAAAAAGGTTCTTTGACTCAGGCACTTGCAATTACGTATAGTAGCAAATCAAATGATGCCACAACAATTGCAGATTTCTTTCAGATCAGCTCACATTTAGTGAATGATCTAAGTGACATGAAATAAATGCAAACTACTATATAAGATATTTAAAGGACAGAATAATATACGGGATTTAAAAAGGTGATGTCTTCATTCTTGAGGAGAAACACGGCCCCAAGAAAAATGTTTAATGAATGGGGCGTTGAGTTCACTACTCGAGATGTGGGTCACTGCAATCGCTTGGGTGTACTTTGTTCGATAACGTTATTCTATTTTGCTATAGGAAAGAGAAGCAAACAAGAGGCACATGTATTCTAGCAGCGTAGCAGCTTAAGCTAGACGTAATTTGCGTGTGCATCATTCTAGACAACTATTCTCAACTTGTAGGTGCCACTGAAATCAGGTTAACCTCATTACTTAACATTGGTTCACTGAAAAAATCGATGATTACAGTCTCCTACGAAGAGCTAAACACACTGAGTAACCACCGAAGGCCGGTTATGAACATTGTGACGCTTGGTTGGCGCTAAGGGGTAATTTGGTTGGTGCTAGGTTGTAACTCGGCTGATAATTCGTTGGTGCTTTGTCCTAACTCGCATTATGTTAAGTCACGTTTATCTATCTTCATCGGCTCAGTTGTGCCTTCATTTTTGTGCGGCTGAATGCAAACTTCGCACTTTTGCCCGAATTGAACGAATTGATCCTTGTGCATTGAGCCAACAGACTATCATCCTCCTAAATAGGCATTTGCCACCAAAATTGAGTCAATACAACTACTCACCATTGATCCATTAAAAGGAACGAGGGAAAGGGTAAAGAAAAAAAAAGTAATGGCTGAGAGACGACAGCGACAAGGCGAAAACTCCGAACAACGATAGGTTACTAGGGATTGGGAAAGGCAACACCACCTGTGAGAAGATCCAGAAGTGATGAAAGGTCTACTATGACCATGATTCGCCCCTAGGCCTATCAGAAGTGCGAACTCGAGTTTCTATTTCCGCAGTTAGGACATTATTGCCACGTCGGTAACTGTTTGTGGCTTAACTTGCACTTTTGTGCGCCTAGAATCAACGTAGTGGCAATTTAGCATCACTTAGCTAAAGCCTATTAACTACCTAGAAGCAAACTAGAGACTAACTTCTAAGTCCTAGCTAATTGCTATAAGCAACCTGAAAGAAAACAGGTTAGTCTTCAAAATCACTCTGACTGTTGAAAGCCTTACGTGACTTTAAGCAACTTCACTATTTTTCCCCCTCTTGAGTCAGCCTAGTATTATACTCAGTTCATGTTCATTACCATCTAAAAACTAGAGAAGCTTAAAATATGTTATTACTGTTTTCAGGAGCATAAAGCTATGTGTGGCAAAGCACCCAGTTGGTGAATGTACAGCGCGAAATTTCATATTTATTTAGCGAATCCTAAAAATATTTATTCAAAGCTGATAAACCTTAGACTGACCTATGAAATGGTTTAGTGTTTATGGTGTTACACTGCTCACCGGCAGGTCCTGTGATTTAATGTCAGCCGTTACCATGGCAATTTTAATGAAAGAGAAAATACCGCAGGGTCATGTACCTTGGTTATGTGTGCGTTAAGAAGCCCAGGTGGGTAACATTTTTTGAGACGTCCAGACCTCTCATAGTGATATGGTGGTTTTGGGACAATAAACTCATCAGATATGATCACAGGCTTATGAACAGAAACTCCGCGCCCGTTTTTTTAAGGAAGGACTTTGAATGAATTAACTTCATCATGCACACATAGAATTTGAAATGTTGAATGAGTAGCCGACGACACAGGGCGATTACATGCGCTAAGTCTCTGCTGAATTCGCTTAGTTAGTTTCAGCGGTTGTCGGTCATGCCAGAAGAAAGCATTACCTTTCAAAGTTTTCACTTGAAAATAAACCCACTTAGCAGTCTACATAACACACATAACATCGGTTTAAAATGCAGAAACATTGACGAAGCTACACAAAATATTCGTGGTAGACAATGGTCATCCACTGTCTGCCATGGCCATCCACTGTCAACGTTTTCGTATCCATTGTTTGGCAAGTCTCACTGTGTCCTTGCGGCATCGACGCCTCAAACATTTTTTCGTAGGAAAAATAACTAAATAACGCTATGCTAAAACTCTTTTGAAAGACAGAGTTTTGTTTGCAGATGATGAAAATACTGCCGCCCACAGCAGATTCCGCCACCAACAACGTCAAGCGCTATACCATATGCGTAATTCTGTGCGCTTGGTGAACCCTTGGCTTTATTCGTTGTTTCACCGCTATTTTTGATTTAGAAAGAATTGTGATCGTTTCGGAATGAAAACATTTCAGCTTAATTTCTAGAAAAAGTTGAGATACTTGTGTTCTACCCTGTATCACGATATGGTCAATACAAGGTAAACGTATTTAAGTACTGAGATACCAGTATATTACCCAAACGTATTGTTTTACGGACATAAATATACATAAAATTATCCTAAAGATATTCTCGCAATACTTGAGTATCTTCAGGCTTAGTTCTGCTTTACAGGACCGAGGTTACCTTGCTTATCTGCAGAAATACAAATAACAGCGCAGTGGTTGATTTCTTAGTTCACAAACATTATTTTTATGGTGTAAAAAATAGCTTGCGCAAAAGCCAAAACTTCTAACACCGCCGGTCTTGCCCCGACATGAAGGTGCGCTCAGAGTTTGCATAAGGCAGTACCGTAGTAGCGGGCAAGCGTTTTTTATTTACTGCTGTCCTTACTTCATGTAACCCGACCCATACTAAAATCTCGGTTGGAAGCACAGGTAGCAATCTCAGAGAAGAACACCATTTCGAAAATTTTTAATTAGGAGCACACAGCATTCATCAGGTGTACTTGATTTTTTTTGTGTGGCGCAGGTCACCGCACCGTGCACACTCAGTTGTAACGTAATGTTACCAACAGGGACGGAGGGATCATTCGACAGACGTGCGCCCGATTTCATGGACTGCAAGGAAAAGGAAGACTGCCAGGTGAATTTTTTCTACATTGGCGGACATCTGACGGAAGCGCTGACGCAGTGTAGCATTAAGATTATGTGCTAAAATGAATAGGCAGGCAAATTGTTTTCTTACGACAGATGCAGAAAACTCATCAAAAGTGTAATGAATGAATTTACTGGAAGAAGCTTCACCCTGACAAGAAATTACGGTGTTTATTAGGCCGACTTATTGAAAGGCGAGATTGAAGCGAGACATATAATTAACAGTATTTAACTTTAAAGTTGATATAAATCTTTTACGGTACGAATTATATAGCATAATAATAACTATAATTGATACAAAAGTTGCCAGCTCACGTTGAAAGGTTCGAGTGTTTAGAGGCATAATGAAGGCAAAGAAGTATTCACAATCAGTCATTACGCATGAACACTTTCGCTGCGTAATACATAAACACGTGCAAAGCGTAACGGATAGAAGGTCAAAGTTCGAGGCAACGCTATAGGCACCCTACATTGTACAGCGACCGGAATATAAATCTGCGCCAAATAAAAAAAACAATGCATTACTTATCTTCTTGGCAACGAGACGTAAACCATCCAAAATACATTTGCTTTCAATATAAGTTAAGGTACTAACTAATAGGTGACGTCGGATGAACAGTTATTCGACAAAGTGTATCGACAAGAGATATAGTAAATTGCTTTTGTGATAGACCGTAGAATATTGCCAAGGCCATGCAAGAGACTGTCGTTTCATAAACGTCCCTTCATTGTGATGAGAGGCATGAAACAAATTTCTCCCTGTCGTTCAAAATATGCAAGTAGACACTGCAAAAGGAACCAGATTCAGTACTTCCAAGTATTGTCGATTACTAGGTGCTGTAAGAATCACAATGCAATTCATTAAACACAGGTTTATTTAATTTGATTGATTGATTTGTGGGGTTTAACGTCCCAAAACCACCATTTGATTATGAGAGACGCCGTAGTGGAGGGCTCCGGAAATTTTGACCACCTGGGGTTCTTTAACGTGCACCCAAATCTGAGTACACGGGCCTACAAAATTTCCGCCTCCATCGAAAATGCAGCCGCCGCAGCCGGGAATCGAACCCGCGACCTGCGGGTCAGCAGCCGAGTACCTTAGCCACTAGACCACCGCGGCGGGGCCACAGGTTTCTTTAGGCTGGCATTTTCTTTCTGATATATGCGTTGAAGCCACTATTTAACATTTTCTCAACTTTACCTGCCTATAAAAAATAAGCATGGAAGATATGGGCGTAAACGTCAGCGTATTTGATGTGCAAGGGTGTATCAGTCATATCAAGCCACCGCCCTGCGGCTTCTTTAGATGCACACACAGGACGCTAGTTGACCCTATAGTTCACTCAGAACTTTCTGTGAAAAATACATCTACTTGCGTACAAAGTAAAGTTTCCTTAAAAATAAAATACAGATATATTCAGGAAAACTCCATGTTCTACGAATTCTGAAATCAAAGATGAAATATGTTGAGCCCTATGTTTTTCAAACATATTACAGCACTATGCCATGATATGTTGTGCACAATCAATGTTCGTCTAGCAAGCTTGTGCACTCACTGAAACTTTCAGCCGACATCTGACCGCGGAGAATATTTGCTGGCATCAACGCCGTAAGAAAGAGCAAAGTTGAATAGAGGGAGTGGGTTAGCGTATGCTCCGAACAAACGCGCACAGCGAACCATTGTTGGCAACCGGGAGGTATCGTGTGGCCCTCGCACACAGAAAGTCACCAGAACACATGCTAGTGAAACACTCCGGTGTCTGTATATTGATGGGCATACCATTATGAAAGACCGAGACGCTTTCACAATGTTTGTTATCATGTTAATTCCCGAATTCATGCATTGATATAGATGGCATACATGACATTTGCAAGTCATTGGAACTACTTCCCGACTTTCTCATTCAGTCTATATATCCCAAACAACGTATTTGGGTGACATGTGAGGTTTAACGTCCCAAAACCACCATTTTATTATGAGGGACGCTGTAGTGGAGGGCTCCGCAACTTTCAACCACCTGGGGTTTTTTAACGTTCACCCAAATCTGAGGACGCGGGCCTACAACATTTTCGCCACCATCGAAAATGCAGCCACCGCAGCTGAGATTCAATCCCCCGACCTGCGAGTCAGCAGCCGAGTACCTAACCACTAGACCTCCGTGGCGGGGCAAGAACACTTTTTGCCTATCCCAGAGTGATCGACTCATGTTAGATTTAGACGCAGCTCTAACAAGATGGTCAATACTTCGTGTGCTCTCGACTACGGCGTCCCTTATGTTCATATCATTGTTCTGGAACTTTCAACCCAAACAGTTGTTACCATTGCTCTTCACTTGACAATGGCATGACCAACTTAGCTAAAATCTTTTTTATGGCTGTGCGAAGTGTAGTGGGCTAGCGCTTGACATACGTGCGGTCACTCGCTCTCTAGTCTCTCCGTCCATCCAACCGTAGTCCGCTCATCCATACATCTACCTATCCATGGTTCGTCCGTCCACCCTTTGATTCATGGCCATTCATTCGTTCATCCGTGGTTTGTCTGTCCAGGGTTAACTCACCCGTACAATAATCAGTGGTTCGTCCATCTGTCCATCCATATTTCGTCCATCCGTGGCTCGTCAATAGTTTCATCATTTCTCCATCCTTCCATCCATAACTCACTCTACGTACATATTGCGGGATAGCCGAGCTAAGCCACTGTTATATTTTTCTCTCATTGCAGGTGTGCAACGATGGATTCTGCGTTTAGACCCACGAAACGCAAAACCAGTCTTTTATACATCATTCTACATACACACAGAACGATATTATGTTACCCCATGCTTCGAACAAAACACCGAATAGCAATAACCTGCCAGGGCTGAAAGCACCTGTTCTCTACGCAATTCATTGGTCGTTGCGAAGTAAAATTTATACCTCCACATCAGCTCCTTCTGTATACCACGTGGTCCTGCTGCTATTCGTTTATGCCACTTTCACAATGTAATCTAGACAAATAAAACTTCAGACAAGATACAGTTTACACTGCCGTTTGTAACAACGGGTGTTACATGTTCTCCACTCATCACATCTATAATTTTTTTTCCAGAACGCTGCGGATTAAGTCCGAAAACACGGCCCACGCATATACTGCAAGCGAAAAAAAAAACAAGGACACGTCTAGAACATGTCATGTAGGAGCATTGGAGGTGTGTCAACGAAGCTCTAATCGCACAAGAAATTGGATGCCGCAGTCGTTGTTATTAAACGTGAATGCATTGCTTAGTGGGGCTATGTCAGGCGTCCGCCGAGACACGGCCACCGCCCTCTCCCAGAGCACAGCTGCGGGTGCGCGCATCCCTGGTGGACCAGTTTTTGTCACATAATGTAACGAGAATTCATACATGGCTTTAAAGCATTTTTCAATAACAGGTAAGCATCATGTGCACTAGTAAGCAGTACGATGCCCATCACAAATTATCTCGTTGTTCGAAAAAAAGAAAAAAGAAAAAAGTGAAAAATCCAACATATAGTGAAGGTACAGTTCAAGATTCCCCTGCATGGACTGTGACATGGTACATGCATATCGGTAGTTGCATGCATATACGAGCTCTTATCTAGAACTGCTAGAAGGTTGTGCATAATTTACCTTTGGAGTGCTACTGCATGAATATATATATATATATATATATATATATATATATATATCAGACACAACTTAGCGGTTGTCTTAGTTTTATTTCCAACGCTTTCGACTGGTAGACCAGTCTTCGTCAGGGTTTGTGAACAAACTCCGACGGAAACCGGTTCACTGGTCAAAACTGTTAAAAATAAAACTAAGACAACCGCTAATTTGTGTCTCTTTTCTTCTCAAGTACGTTTGGCCCATTAAAAAAAACTTCAGTATATATATATATATATCTATATATATATAAGGAAAAGGAATATAAGGGAAAGGAGTGTATACCTAAGGGCTCCTTTTTCCGTGTTTTAACACAATATTAATGAGATCTAACAGACAGTATTGCCAAGGAATGTACAGAGGAAGTTATTAGAACCAACTAGTAACTTCCCCTGTACAATCATTTGCATTACTGTCTGTTAGATCTCATATATATATATATATATATATATATATATATATATATATGTATGTATGTATTGCTGGGTAATGATCCCGACGTCCTCCTGCGTTCGTCGTGTCCGACCTGGAGCTACAATCCGGCCGCCGATTGCACCCGGGTACCCCCTCAGCTATGCTGACAACAGAATCAACATCTAGCCCTAACCCTTTCGCACCGATGCCTACGGCCGCCCTCTCTTCGTCTACAGTCACCAGCCTTCAGCGCGAACCACTCATGTTCGCGGGACTCCGCGGTGACAACGTCGAGAACTGGCTCGACCTTCACAACTGTGTGAGTTCAGCTAATCACTGGGCCGAAGCGAAGAAATTGAGCTATCTCCCATTCTACCATTCTATCTCACCAGCGTAGCCAAAACGTGGTATTTCAATCACGAAACTGACTTTGCTGATTGGTTGACCTTTGCCACGAACCTGCGACAGGTCTGCGGATGCTCGTCAGGTGGTTCGGAAACCGCAACACAGAAACTGGCAACGCGGGTTCTACATCCGCACGAGACATAAACTTCCTTGAACTGGTATAGCGCATTACGGGGAAGAAGAAACGGCCGAGCAGACCGACACAAGAGGACTTAGCGCTCTGTCCTCTTGTGTCGGTCTGCTCGGCCGTTTCTTCTTCTCCGTAATGCGCTACACCAGTTCAAGTAACTCGCCCAATCTTCAACACTCGTGGACATAAACTTCGTATATCGGGGATGTTATGGCTCTCTGTGACCATGAAAACAGCGTTAGGACGGAAGCCGAGCACGTTCGCAACATTCTCAAAGGAATCGTCATGATTGCATTCAATGCCTTGGCTGTTAACAATCCCCCTACAGTTGAAAACATTATTTCGACATGCCAAGGCCTTGATCAGTTGCAGTCACTCCGCCTTCAACAAGACAGTGATCCCCGCCTCATGCCTTCGTCTGATTTGAAAGGTCTAATCCGCGCGATCATCCGTGAAGAACTTCGAGATCTGGAACAGCAGCGGTCCACTGCCGTCTCAACTCCATCCACACCGTTCGACTTGCGGAATCTTGTGAAGCAGGAGTTAGCGGCCATCAAAACACCGACAGCGCCGGTCGCTCCACCAGCACGCCCGCTGCCCACATACGTTGATGTGGCCACCTTGATGACACTGACAGCATCGGTTGACTAACCACTGACGCGCAGATACGCGAATACAACCACACAGTAAAAATTTCTGTGTAAATGAGCTTGTCCCATAGACGACACCCTAAGAGTGCTAAATCAGCACCTTCCAAAAAGGGTGCTTTTTATGTTCCCTGAGAATAGGGTGTACATGTAAAAAAACTGTTGGCTGTTACAAAAACACCCTTAAGGGAGGGTGCCTTCGATGTCCATCACTTTTTTAGCACCCTCTGAGGAGGGTGCGAGAAGGGTGCACAAGGGTGTTGAGTGCCCATGGCAGGGGTGCCAGTATTCTTTTAGACTGCACTAATACATATCAGCATGCACTGATTACACACTACTTGAAGAGAGTGGTTCTGATTATCAATGATGCGCCACCTGTCGAGCTCCATTCATTGCGCGTGGGCAAAAATATAAACACGAACAATCGTGTATGAACTTCTGCTGGATCTATATATACTTCACAGTATATGCATAATGCGCGTTACAGAAAACGAAGCCTTGCTGCCCTTGCATATTACATATATTTAATAGGCAAATAAAACTTATAAACTTTTCTTCTGCCACACAACTTTTTCACCAGATGTGTAACATGTTCACGTATACGTACACTACGCATGTGACACCTCAAATGTTTATTATATTTTTTCAGTTTCACTTTATTGACAATTATTTGCAACATACAATCACAGTGGTTTCAGTTTAGTATACTACTTTAAGTACATAGAGAGTACAAATGAAATACACGCCAATATATCCCTATAATTCTTTCAGGTATCTACAATCCAAGTGGTTTCTAGTTTAATACTTCTTCATGTACACAATCGGTTAATATATAGGAATGAAATACAGGCAAATATATACTTATAATTCTTTCAAATAGATACAATCACCATGATTTCACTATATACGCCTTTATGTACACAATCATTCCCAAGAAGTGATGCACACAAAAATATATACGGATAGTGTTTTCAAATGTATACAATCACAGTGGTTCAAGCTTTGTATTCCTGGATGTATAACAATTGGTTATGAGAAATGATGTACATGCAAACATATTTGGGTTTTTGCCTATATAACTTTAGCGAATACTTAAAAAACCAATACAATGATCAGAAACAGAATAAGCTAAAACCGAACACAAAACTGAGTCAGGACACACAAAAAACAAAAGAGGTAATGCATAATTACGGCTAATGACACAGCTGGGTCATTTTATGCCAAATGTCCTAGCCATTTTGGCAACCACTTCAAATGTATTCGAGAAACTCGTGCTGCATTGAAAATAGTGAACTTCTGCAATATTCAGGAGAGAAAAAATATTTGGTCACGTGGCTGCCTTCTGAACTTCCTGGAATGCCGTCTAGGTGTTGTATGTGAAAAATTTTATTTTAAAAGCACCGCTCCTTCTTTCTATACGAAACTCGGTCTACGTGTTACGTAAGAGGAGTTTAATTTGGGCTAGTTGGTTCATCGTGGTTGTGTGCTAGTCACAGCGCGACAACTTGAGGAAGAGACACAAAGGACAGGAAAGAGCACCGACTGTCAACTGAATTTAATGAATGTGCTACGAGCGCTTTTATACGGAGTATAAGAACCGTGCTTATGCGTGACGACACGTGTGACCACTACAAAATAATCTTAACTGAGAAAAGAATACTCCCTCTCGGAAAAGATAAGTGAACGTGTAGTGATGCACTGATCATTGGTTTACCTGATAAAAAATACTTCTACTAACGTTAAATTGGCATTAAGTAAACCTATTCTCGTGAAGAATGGTGCAAGATTGACTATTCCTGTTGCTGTTTAGTACACACACTTTTCAAAGCTCGCAAGGGGTAGAAAACAACACGTTAATATCATATCTGCTGTCTATTTTTATAACTGTAAGACATGTGATGTGGTATAACATGCAAAAGTTTTGGTCATTGTTTTTTTGTTGGTCCTGTCTTATTTAACTTTACTTTCTGCAGGAGGGTTTCGCAAACGGGTGTTATGATTCTGTTGGTATATCAAGCATCTTTTAGTCTTTTAATCTGGTTTTTATCCTGACCACACCCTAGTGGTAACATGACTTCTGGAGGGTGGCCTGAATACATGTGGTATCAATTCCCCTTTCTTCTAATTTTGAATGCCCACTATCAAAAGGCAGAACATTCTTAGCACTCCTGGGCTGATAGCACCAGCCAATACCCCAACAGCATCATCACACTTTTTTGCGAAACCCTCCTGCAGAAAGTAAAGTTAAAGGAAAGAGGACCAAAAGAAAAAAGAGAATGACCAATCACCTTTGCATGTCACACGGTACTACGTACATAAGGTGTCTCACAATTTTAGGAAAAAGCCAGCAGATATGACATTGTTGTTTTCCACCTCTTGCAAGCTTTCAAAAGTGCCTGTACTTACAGCAACAGGAATAGTCAATCTTGCACCATCCGTCACTAGAATAGGTTTACTGAATGCCAACCTAATGTGCATAAGATGCCGCTAACATGTGGAAAAGTAAACATAGGACAAACTGGGCAATGCTTCAATGATCAAGCAAGACAGCATGCTTTAAAGGTTTGCTGACCTGCAGGGCGCGGGTTTGAATCCCGGCTGCGGCGGCTGCATTTCCGATGGAGGCGGAAATGTTGTAGGCCCGTGTACTCATATTTCGGTGCACGTTAAAGAACCCCAGGTGGTCGAAATTTCCGGAGCCCTCCACTACGGCGTCTCTCATAATCATATCGTGGTTTTGGGACGTTAAACACCAAAAATCAATC